AAAAAAAAAAAAAAAAAACTATATTGGATAGCCGAGTTCCCATACCTGAATTATCCTTTTTTAAAATCAGCAACACAGTGACTCCTGGTGGCAAACCAAACAAAACCAGAGTAATCTGGGGAAAGGTGACTCGGGCCCACGGAAACAGTGGCATGGTTCGTGCCAAATTCCGAAGCAACCTTCCTGCTAAGGCCATTGGACACAGAATCCGTGTGGTAAGTACGATTATTAGCAAAATGGTCATCTGTTGAGTCAAATTAAGCTTAATGAGCTCTAAGGACTTTTGTGATTGTAAAATGATACCAGTAAATGATGCTGCAAAATTAGCAGTTACTGTGTAAATGCATATTACAGAACATCTGGTTCTTGGCCTACTAAAGGAAGGTGAAGGCAAGGTGTTCAAATGGACTGTGCCTTAATTTCAGATTTTGCTAAAGCTGCCTGGGGAAAAATGGTGTTCGAATGTTCACTTTTTCTGGCAAAGATTTTTTGGGCACTGAAGTAATTACTATAAAATAAAAAGCCAACATACTTTTCCTGGCATAGTTCTTAATATTTTCCCATCTGTATCATGTCAGTCCTGTTAGAATAGGTGTCATAAGCTTTATTTTGTACTGGACAGAAATAGATGCTCGTGTTCCTAGGTCTCAGGACTTCAGCCCAAGTCATAGACTCCAGATCCTGTGACATTTTCAAATATCTCTTGCTTTTTCTTTAGTTAAGGTTCATTTTTAGTAGACCATATTCTTGGGGTACTGTTGAACCCTGCTGAGTGGTACAACTCAGCCTACAACTAGGGTTTATCATCAGAGGAGATAGTTTATATTCCATTTTTAGTAGAAGCAAAATTAAATTTATCTTTCAGTACTCATTTTAGTGCTGGTTCTTATGGTATGTTCACGTTGAAACTGAAGGCTGTAAAAACTTAATTCCAGCTGGGCACCTTGGCTCACGCCTGTATTCCTAGCAGTTCGGGAGGCTGAGGCAGGAAGATGGCTTGAGACTAGCCTGAGCAACATAGCAAGACTTTACCTCTACAAAAAATAGAAAAATTAGCTGATTATGGTGGTGTGCACCTGTAGTTTAAGTTACTTGGGAGGTTGAAGCAGGAGGATCGCTTGAGCCCTAGAGTTTGAGGTTGCGGTGAACTATGATTATGCCTCTGCACTCTAGCCAGGGTGACAGAGCAGGATCCTGTCTCAAAAAACAAACAAACAAAAAAACTTAGTTCTTTCACCACCAGAATGGTCACTGGTTGACTTTTGGAGATGAGTAATGGGATAATGGGAGGAGATTTATCCATATCGTAGTACTAATAACATTTGTAAATTTGTATATAACATTCACCTAATGTTTCTATGTTTTTTCCCCCCAGATGCTGTACCCCTCAAGGATTTAAACTAATGAAAAGTAAATAAATAAAAGTGGATTTGTGCTCTTGTATTTTTGTTAAGTGGCATACAAAAAACCTAATTGCCCTAAATTGAGTTTCCATATGTTTAAAATGGTGAAGGTTATCAAGCACTTTCAGAGTACAAGGAA